CTCTGCTGGACTGCCTTTCTCCTCTCATCTGTTTAGAACAGAGGTGGAGGTTGGAGGTGGGAAAAGAGGGTGATGATTTAGAGGCAAAAAGGCAAGGATTCACATAAAAAGGGTGCTTTCTTTAACACTGTGAGAGAGGAGTTCCCTTCACCTCCTCTCCCTCCCACAGTGACAGGAGTCACCAGACACTCTTCATCTGATTACAGAAACTGGGGGCCAGTACACTGGTCTCTCCTGACCACCGCCTGCCTCACCCTCACCAGGGCTTGCACACAGTGGCTCACTGTTGCTGTGATGTGCTCACTCCACCTGCACTGAAACGGTGGTCAGGAGAGCCTGTCTCCTGTTCTGCTCTGTCTCCTGCTCTGCCCGCTTCTGTGTGACTGATAGGCTGGCCTTCCTGAGGTATTCCTTTATCTGAATCCCTCTAGCACTTACTCTGAACCTAGAGGACAAAGTCCAGTTTCCTTAGACCTGCCTCTTTATGTCTGTGATACAGACTGGTAATCACACTCACCTTCTCTGCCTAAGCCCTGCTCCCATCCTTCCATTGGCCTTTGGCCAAGGCCCTGTGCTCTTCTGCTTTTATCCCTGTACTGGCTGCACCTGATGCACAGCTCAGGCTGCATTAGTAGGCACTCAGTGGCCAGATGACAGGAAGCCCTAGACTCTGGACCGTGTGCCATCTTGGGCGTATCTGGAATTTTGTGCTCATTTCTTGAGAAGCCTGTTGACTCACCAGTGTGCTTCCAGAGGCCAGCAGCCAGGGCTAAGTGGGGCTAAAAACTGTGTCCTATGAGGAACGGTTGAGCAAACTGAGCGGGTTGGGGGTGGGTGGGGGGGCGTGCCTCTAACCAGGACCAGGTGCAGCATGATTGCTTCTGGAGAAAGGAGCTGACTCTCCTTGTGTGGCAGAATTAATAGAAGAGTTAGGAGGCAGGTGTCAGCCTAATAGAAATGAGAACTGTGTACTATGTAGCATTATGTGGTTGCCATTGATAGCTGGCCTTTATTGAGCACAACCCAGCTATAGGCATTGTGGAACGTGCTCTGTGCATTCTCATTTATCCTCACGCCCACCCCATAGGTTTAAGTGCTTTGATCCTCATTGGACAAATGAAGCAGAGATTCAAATTTAGTAACTTGGTGCAATGTGTCATACGCGGTGAATGGCAGAGCTGAAACTAGAACTGCAACTAACCTAGAGCCCCTCTTAACTACTATCTGCTACTCTCAGAAGTGTTGAACAAGGGCAGACTATCACCTTCCACAGCCACTGCAGAAAGATGCCTGTTTTGGGGGAGTTGCAATTTGCTGCTCTGGGAGGTCCCTTCCAACCCTGGCAGTATGGGACCTTGGTCTCACTTCACCGGCGGTATCCTGCCTTCATACTGCAGCCGAGTATGGTAGCACAGCCTCCAGCAAGCCTTCCTCCGGCAGCATGTATGCTGCACACGGGGCCACCGACTCCTTGGCCTTGACTGTATTCTGCCATTTGCTGCTCACCTCCCTTCACAGGCCTGGGGATTGGCTGTGTCATCTCTCCTTTCCCCTAGCACCCAGAATGGCTACTTCACATGGTGGACATGTTCTGTTTGCTCTCTCATGGTGAGTCCCAAGTGGTTTCTGACACGTTTCCTTCTAAAATCCCAGGATAGAATATGTAACAGTGACTCCAGAGGGATTCCGGTACCGGGGCCAGATCTTCCCAACTGTGAATGGACTCTTTAGATGGTTTAAGGATCACTACCAGGATCCTGTACCAGGTGAGTTCTGCTCTTCCTGACGTCAGGGGCCTGGCTAGAGGAACACCTAGGACCTGACTCAAGAGTAGTCCCAGCCTAGGGACCAGGTGAGAAGTAGGTTGTCACTGCAGCTGTCTTACTCCTCCTGCAGCCTCCCAGCATCAGGAGGTTTATCCATCCACTGTGCCTATGCAGCTTCCCTTCCTCCCTCCACATACTTCAGTGCCCCTTCCACCCCCCGAACTGGGAAACCAAAAATAGGTTTCTGGAGGGATGTAACTAAGTAACCACTTCCTGCAGGCATCACCCCTAGCAGCAGCAGCAGGACCCGGACACCTGCCTCTATCAATGCTACCCCGGCCAACATCAACCTTGCAGGTGAGGAGCTTGAGCCTGGGACTGGAGGTGGGAAGGGTGGAGCTAAAGGGACTTTCACCTCTAACATGCCCCTCCCTTCCTCTGTGTGCTTACAGATCTGACACGGGCCGTGAATGCCCTGCCTCAGAACATGACTTCACAGATGTTCAGTGCCATTGCTGCGGTGACAGGCCAAGGACAGAACCCTAATGCCACCCCAGCCCAGTGGGCCTCCAGCCAGTATGGCTATGGCGGCAGTGGAGGCGGCAGCAGTGCTTACCACGTATGTGACTTGGGGAGGAGGCTGCCTGTGCAGGGTGGGGCCCATAGACTGGACTCTCACATTGCCCACAAGGGGCTTCACATGCACAGATGGGGCTGCCACAGCCTTGGTAACTGTCTCCAACAGATATTCCTTGTCCTCAGGCCCATTTGAAGGGGAAGAGAGTAAGAGAGGGCATAATGTTTCCACGGGCCTTTGGAATCTTTGGAACCCGCAGGCCACTAGAAACTTGATGTGGTCGGGATCAGTGGGCACCACTGTGTGCTCGGTGCCGACCTGCAGACTTCCCACTGCCGGTCAGAAGCACACACTCAGTGGAGAATCATCTGGAAAGCTTTGCTGAGCCCACCCTTGCGCTTACCCAGAATTCACAGCAAGGCCAGACAAGCCCCACACCCATCCCTATTTAACTGTTCATGCCTCTCCAGGTATTCCCAACGCCAGCCCAGCAGCCAGTGGCCACACCACTAATGACCCCTAGCTACTCCTACACGACCCCAAGCCAGCCCATCACCACCCCTCAGTACCACCAGCTCCAGGCCAGCACCACCCCGCAGTCGGCCCAGGCCCAGCCCCAGCCCTCCTCCAGCTCCCGGCAACGGCAGCAGCAGCCAAAGTAAGTATCTGGATGGTGGCACAGTGCAGGTCAGTGGTAGGGGCAGGTGTTGTCAAGAGGCCGAGAGGCTTAGCGTAGGCAGGTGCTCTGGATCCTCTGAGGGCCCTGATCATGTGATATGCCAGAAACACTTCATGTCTTCTGAGTGAAGACAGAAGTGGGCAGTGTGGCAGCCAGCTGCTGCTTTATCTGCCTCACCCCAGCAGAGGGGCTGCTGCCCGTAGGTATGAGGTTCCTTTCTGCAAGAGTACAGTGATTGGTGGGAAGAATTCCTTTTAGCAAAGTCCCAATCTCAATTTTTCTTCCCTTCCCAGGTCCAACAGCCATGCAGCCATCGACTGGGGGAAAATGGCAGAGCAGTGGCTGCAGGAAAAGGAGGCAGAACGGCGGAAACAGAAGCAGCGGCTGACACCTCGGCCTTCCCCCAGTCCCATGATCGAAAGCACCCCCATGTCCATTGCTGGCGATGCCACCCCACTCCTGGACGAGATGGATCGGTAGGGGGCCTGCTCCTCGGACTCTGGTTACCTCTGAGGCTGGGAAAGGCCTGGCCGCCCACTGCCTCCCTCCCTGCCCCTCCTTTTCTGTCCATAAAGTGGCGTGAAGTGACGTTCTCTTTGGTGGTCAACCTGGATGGGTGACAGGCTGGATGGCCTTGTGAACTTGAGCTCAGTGTGTGCTAGGCAACAATTCTCCCACTCCAGACCCTCACCGACCACCTGGCCTGGGACCAGGCTGGGAGGGGAGTGTGGCAGGGAGAAGGAAGAGGAAGGTGAGAATGAGTAGAACAGTTTTGATTCTACTCCCTACAAGCCATTTTGAACTTCTGCCCTCACCAGACGCTGGGCTGTGACTAGGACACAAAACTCAGCACATGAGTCTCCCCTGGCTCTTGTGGGGAGAGGGATGCTATTTATTCAGTTTGGGGCAGGAGGGAGAGGAGGGAAAGTATTTCTGACCCTGATGCCAACAGCCGGGTGGCTGTCCAAGCAGGAATGCAGGGGACACAGGGAAGCAGCACTAACCTGCCCAGTCCCTGCCTGGCTGCCCTTTCCCCACTGCTGCCGCCACCGCTTCCTGCCTGTCATTTGAATAAACAGTGTTTCTATTGAGCCCTTGCCAAAGCCTCTCTCTCCAACTCTCCAGCTCTTTGAGGGGATGGCTTTCAAAGCAGTGTTTGGAGCTCCAGGGACCCCCCTGACTTCCATCAGAGGCAAAGATTCAGACTAGGCAGCTTCTGCATCAGACTGCCTGGGGCACATCCCTGCTCTACTTACCAGCCCGGTGACCCTGTGCCAGCTCCTGCTGGCTTTCAACTGGCTTTCTTACCTGTAACATGGAGATAGTGATACCTGCCTCTTCAGCTGCTGTGAGGACCAAGGCAGCATGTGCAAGCTCCTTGGCCCAATGCCTAGTACCTCACAAATGTTACCCGGTATTATTACACCCACTCGCTCACCCACAGCACAGCTGCCCCATCCACCCACACCTGTTGGTCTTCTCTGGCATACTCGAGAAAGGCCACAAGTACATCTGGGTTTCTCTACTTGAGCCTCTGCTGTTCGTCTCCTCCCTTTTCCCAGCTGGGCCTTGGTCTCTGGCAAACTCTCAGCAGTAAGGTGTTCCTCCCCCACTACATTTTTTGTTCTGAACCTGCCATCCCTGTTTCTGCACAAGGGCTTCATCTCACAGCTCTGTGAGTCAGTGCTGGGAGAGTGGGGCCTCTGGCTCCCTTTCCTCTGCTTGGGGCTCAGCAGAGAAGTCAGAAAAGGCCACTGCTACCCGGATGTGGCACACTCCCTCCCCTTGCTTTTCTTCATCAAGAGCTGGGGGAAGGGGCCAGCTCTGCCAGGAACTCAAAAGTCAGCTCCCTTCAGCACAAAAGGGCTACAAGGGAGGACCTGGACCATCAGCTGGGAAGGTCAGTCTCTGGTAGTACCACGAGCACCTTCTGCAGAGCCACTTAGAGGAGGGAAAGGCCAGGCACAGTGGCACAGCGTGGGTTAAAAAGTTCCATTTATTGGGGGTATCACTGCAGACAGTACTGCCTCTCCCAGAAGTGGGTTTCACACAGACCGAGAGTCTCTCCCAGGAGAGAGGGGAAGTCCTCCTTCCCACCCAGATATACTCTTCCACCTTGTCCTAGCAGGTAAGAGGAAATATGGCTGTGCCCCTTCCTTTCCCTCCCACCTGCCTTCCCATGGACTTCCTTTGTGAAAGCTGGATTGCCTTTGAGAAACCCCCGCAGCCCTGAGCCCACCCCTTGCCCCGTAAGAAACAGCCAGGTTGGAGGGAGAGAACAGCAGCAGAGGGCCAGCCACAGGCTCGATGGCATTTATTCTGCACCCTGACCACCCTGGCCTCAACTGAGGTTGGGGTTTGATCCTGGGGGAGATTTTCTTTTGTTTACCTTCCTGGCTTGTGAGGGCTTTGCCCCTGTCTTTTTGGCCTGAACTGTGTTCTCTCTCTTCCTGGGCGATGATGATTCCAGAATATCCTCGCTGGACAGTTCCTCCTGCCCCCGGCCATTGTAACTGTCCTCGCTCTCCAGCTCTTCCCTGCTTTCTGGGCTGGACTCGGACATCCTGGCCAGCTGTCTTGGGCTTAATGATCGCCTCACGTCTGGCGGGGAAGGCTCCAATTTAACCGGGCTTTTCTTCTTAGTCAACTGGCCTTTCTTGGCTTTTTTTTTCAGCTTTGCCTTCTCATCCATCTCCTCCTCCTTGTCTTTCTCTTTTTCCTTTTTCTTCTTTACCTTCTTGATCACCCTGCTGCCCTGACCCTTCCCTGTGGGGCTCTCAGAGCGCCAGATGGTGATGGGCGCTGCGGAGTCAGGGGTACCAGTGGCCATGGTGGTGCCTAGGTCAGGGGAGGCGGTGGCAGGCCCCACCTGCGTTGGGATGGGGGGCTTGCTTTCCTGCTCCTCCTCTTCCTCTTCTTCATTTAGATCATCTGCCCCACACTCATGGTGGAGGGGATGGTGGATCACCGCCACAGAGACAGGTCTGTAGCTTTTGCACCTGGGAGGAGGGATGACGAGGGAAGTTTGACAGAGTCGGGGGGGCAGTGCCCTGTAGAGGCCCCTTCCCCATCAGCCCACCGGGGCTCGCTCACCAGCCATACCAGAATCGCTCCACATGCTGCTCCTCTGGTGTGAGCTCAAAGCAAGGGGACTCGATGACATGGGAGCAGGTTGGGCCCGTACCCCGGGAGCTGCTGCTGTCCTCTGAGCAGTCCTTCAGCCTGCCACACATGGGGACTCTCAGCCTGGCTCCCATCACTCCCCCAGGGACCCAGAGCCAGAAGCCTGAGGGACAGTGGGCTTCTGCTGGGCCTGTCCCAGGCCGCCAACAGACCTCCCCATTTCTCTTAGAGCAGAGCAAAGTGTGCAGAGCTGGGACTGGGCTGGCAGCACCAATTCAAAGCTGAAGAGGCAAACCAAAGGTTGAAGGGGACACCACAATGAAAGTTGGGACCTGCTCTGCCATGGGTCCCCCAAGGGTGCGGGCCCTCACCTAGAATTACAGTTGCAGTGGTTGACAGAGCGTAGGTGCAGGCTGTGGCAGACACAGTCAGAGGCGAAGGGGTAGATGATGTGCCCAGTGCACTGCTTGTGTTTCCAGCAGCACTTGTCAGGTTCCTTGCAGTCACCTGAGGGGGCAGGGGTCTGGGTCATCAGCAGCAGCCGCAGACCTCTGGGTCTTCCCACAGCTCAAGCTAAAACCTCACCAAATTCACCTGCCACCACCAGCTGTCCCCACCCCAAGAAGTGTTTCTGCTTCAGTAGTAGTAACTTGGCCCCAGAGTAACCCCAGGTCCCGGCAAAATGTCTGGTTCCATGTCTGATACACAGGAGACCCTCACCAAGCCCCCTGCAGTCCTGTGATTCCCTGTTACTTCTGTCCTCTCCCTCCAGTGGGAGGCTTCCACTGGCTCCTGCCTGCCCTTCACCCAGCTACCCACAATGAGTGGTAGCCCTGCTCCACAAGGTACCTGGTAGGAGAAGGCCCTCCTGCCATGGCACCCCGGAGCCCCAGGAGCAGCAGAGCTGCAGCATCCTCAGTTCCTACACCTGCCCTGGCCCACTCTGATCTCTCACAGCCTGGCCAGGAGCTAAGGCCCGCATCATGCTCCTTAGCTTCTGTCTCGTCCTTCCCTCCCCACTTCCCCCTCCTCCCTTCTTCAAGCCCCTTTTCTCCTCCCGCCTGACACGTTTCTCACTCCCCTCCCTTCCCATGCCCGCTTCTTGATCCTTTCCCTGTTCTTTACGCAGCACCTTCCCACACTCTCCCCACTGCCTAGAGTGCCAGGCTTTTGAACGACCCACCCCCAGCCTAGGCACCCTTTTAGGCAGCACAGAGACCACAGCCCCTTTCCCAGGGCACAGGAAGAAGCTGCTGGGGTAAGAATTTGGGGTTAGGGGAAAGCCCTGGAGAAAGGCCCCCACCTCTGTTGCTCAGCTCAATGCCAGTCCTGAAGACAGGAGAATTTCCCCAGTCTACCACCACTGCCTCACCTCTGACCCTGCCTAAGGCCCTGATCTACCACTGGCTGTCCCCTCTCAAAGGTAAGCCCATGAGGCAACTCTGCGCCTCTCACAGCCCAGAATCTCACTCACCAGGCAGAGGACAAGAGACCTTACCTCGGATTCCCCTGCACCCCTGGGGGAGGGAGGGAGCCGGCACTGGCCTGGGGTGCTGTGGCTGGCTTACCCTCAAACAGGCCATGAGGACTGTGCCTTTGCCAGCGCCCACGAGGAGAGGAACTAGGGTGAGACCTCATACTGGTCACCAGCCAGCAATGAGCCCAGGCTGTGGTGTGAGTCCAAGTGGCCTCACAGTGCAGCAGCTTGGACTGAGGCTTACTCACATTTCTCCCTCCTTCCCTTTCCCACACAAGGCTGTGAAGTCCTGGGTCCTCACTACACCGCTGACCCATGGGTGATCTGTGTCTTTCTCCTCCCCTTTTGTACCCTTTATCCCCCAGGAAGATGAGGAAGGCATGAGTGTGTGGCAGGACCCTGAAACTTCACCACCACCTCAGCCTTCCTCAGCACTGCTGAGCTGGGCCAAAGGGCAGCATAGTGGCAAATTGCCCTGAACTTGTAGTCAGGCCTGAGCCCGAGTCGTGGGTCTGTCACTTACTAGCTGGGTGGTCTAGGGCAAATTCCTTTACTTCTCTGAGCCTTTAGTTTCCTTATCCACAAAATGGGATGGTGGTCATACCTATTTTGCAGGGTTGTTGGGCATACTCAATTCACATATGTCAAAGATACTTACGTGCCATAAAGTTCTATACAAATGAATGGGGTGATTGTGGCCTTGAGAAAGGGGTCCCCTCTGGCATCTGTAGGGGATGGGTTGAGGATGGGGCAGCTTCAGGACCAAACACTTCCCTCCCTCCCTGCCTCAGGACCAATGTTCCACCAGGTATCAGCTTTCCCAGGTGAGGGGTGATGGGGACCCCCCTGGGTCAAAGGTCTCCTGGACCCACCTTCAGAGAAGGTAGACACATCCGTGCTGGACGCCACACCAGCCAGCAGATGTCCTCTCTCCCAGCTGGGTAACCTGTTTACATCTGAGAGAGCACAGAGTGGCAGTGGTGGCAGCAGCCCCCTCCCTGTGCCATTTATTCACCAAACATACCCCGAGAAGTTCCACATGTCAGGCGCCACTGCATCCTGGAGATGCAGAGATAAAACAACAGTCCCTGCTCTTGAGGGGTTGCGGGGTTGGAGGGGTGAGGGGGAGGGGAGAGGGACACAGGAGGTTCATGACAATAGTGTGATACAGATGCTGACAGGGAAATGGTAGCACAGGACAAGGGCCACCTACCAGGACTGGAAAGGAGGACAGGGGACTACGGAAGACTTCTTGGAAGGGGCATCACTAGAGTTAGAGTGATGAATAGGAGCCAGCCAGGGTCTAGGCAAGGAGGGACAGCTCCAGAAACTGTCCCAGGGTGTGTGGAGCCTGGACAGAGGATGACCCTGAGCAGACCTCCAACTGGGGTGGCAGCTCCCCATCAGCAGCCACAAGACAGAGTCTGCCCCTTTGCCTTTCCTTCCCACAGCTAACTTTGTCCCTTGAGGCACTGGACTTCAGGTCTGCTTAAGGAAGGGAAACTGATTGCTTGGCATCTTCAGCAAGCCTTCAGTGGCACTTGGTCATCCTCCTACAAGTCTCTGATCAGCTCCTCCTCCTGTTTTCCGCAGCACAGCAAATATTCAAAATTTGTTAAATGAACAAAAGAGTGAATGAATGACTTTAAGCACTTCCTGGAAACTCCTGCAACCACTGGTTCTCTCAGCAGATAATTTCACTGCCATTATCTGTGGACACTCCAATCCTCATCAACTTTGCTTGCCTGGGAAAGGGATGTCCCTCCTTTCTCATGCCCAAAGCATCTATATTCAGGTCCCAGCCAGAATTGACACCTTCTTCTTTACTGGCTTCTTTTTTCCCCCCTTACAGGCTATAAACATCATAAAACAAAACACTCTGTCAATCCTGTTTCTCCTACCATTGCATATACCCCTTTCAATCCAAATTGATTCACTCATTCATTTAGAGGACATATGTTGGGTGACTTCACTCAGCACTAGAAAAGAGGCCAAGTCCCTACCTTCAGTGAGCTCAGTGTCTCCACCTCTTTCTTCTCTTCCAGCCACCTGCAACATGGTAGCCATCTGCCCCCCAATCTGAATAGCTTTGGCAAAGGCCACCAGCAGTTTCCCAGTAGCCAAACCCAGTGGGCTTCTTATCTCACTTGACCCTGTTTTTTGTTTTGTTTTGTTTCTTGTTTTTGTTTGTTTTGTTTTGAGATGGAGTCTCGCTCTGTCACCCAGGCTGGAGTGCAGTGGTGCGATCTCGGCTCACTGCACCCTCTGCCTCCCAGGTTCAAGCAATTCTCCTGCCTCAGCCTCCTGAGTAGCTGGGATTACAGGTGCGTGCCACCGCACCTGGCTAATTTTTGTATTTTTAGTAGAGACGGTGTTTCACCATGTTGGACAGGCTGGTCTCGAATTCCTGACCTCATGGTCTGCCCTCCTTGGCCTCCCAAAGTGTTAGGATTACAGGCGTGAGCCACCGCGCCCAGCCTCACTTGACCCTGTTGACCAATGAATCTCCTTCTTCTGCAAACTGTTCCTTGGACTTCCAGGCAGACCTCATCTTTCTCTTCCTTCTCTAACCAGCTCTTTAGTTCTTCCCTGTCTCCTTTGCTATCTGCTCTTGTTTTGCTGTACACCTTAAATTGGTGATTATCAGACTTGGTCACCTCTGCAGAAGACTCTACAAAAGCATGTCCTGGATAATTTCATCAACTTCCATGTTTTCAACATCCACCAATGAAATGACATAAATCTGTAATCCCATCATTTTGGGAGTCTGAGGCAGAAAGATCACAAGCCCAGGAGTTCGAGACCAGCCTGGGCAACATGGCAAAACCCCATCTCTACAAAAAATACAAAAATTTAGCTGGCTTAGTGGTGCACACCTGTAGTCCCAGCTACTCAGGAGGCTGAGGTGGGAGGATCACCTGAGTCCAGGGAGGTCAAGGCCGCAGTGAGCCGTGATCACGCCATTGCATTGTGGCCTGGGCAATAGAGTAAGAAGACCCTGTCTCAACTAAAATATATACCTTTGATTCTAAATCCCCACCGCAGCCCCATTCTATGGATGAGAACAGAGACTTAGAGAGGATAAGTAAGTTGTCCAAAGATACATGTTAATAGATGGCAGAGGTAGGATTCAAACCCAGTTCTTCCTGGTTCCAAAGCCTATGCTCTTTCAGCCCTATCTACTTACTGTTGGCTGGGGACACACCCCTGTAAACAAAGGCCATTCTGTATGTGAAGCTCCACAGCCAAGCCTTAAAACCACATTCTGCTTGAGTGAGCTGGCAAGGCAGAGGTTGCAGTGAGCTGAGAGCACCACAGCACTCCAGCCTGGGAGACAGAGACTCTGTCTTACAAAATAGCTGGGCGCGGTGGCTCACACCTATAATCCTAGAACTTCGGGAGGTTGAGGCAGGTGGATCACGAGGTCAGGAGATCGAGACCATCCTGGCTAACACAGTGAAACCTCGTCTCTACTAAAAATACAAAAAATTAGCCGAGTGTGGTGGCGGGCACCTGTAATACCAGCTACTCACAAGGCTGAGGCAGGAGAATAGTGTGAACCCAGGAGGCGGAGCTTGCAGTGAGCCAAGATCAGGCACTGCACTCCAGCCTGGGCTGCAGAGCGAGACTCTGTCTAAAATAAATAAATAAATAAAAATAAAATAATAAATCACATTCAGCTCCATATGCAAAACCTGTCCTACCAGGCTGGGTGCAGTGGTTCATGCCTGTAATCCCAGAACCTTGGGAGGCTGAGGTGGGCGGATCACTTGAGGTCGGGAGTTTGAGACCAGCATGGCCAACATAGTGAAATCCCATCTCTACTAAAAATCCAAAAATCAGCCAGGCGTGGTGGCGCACAACTGTAGTCCCAGCTGCTCTGGAGGCCAAGGCAGGAGAATTTCTTGAACCCCAGAGGTGTAGGTTGCAGTGAGCCAATATCGTGCTACTGCACTCCAGCCTGGGCGGCAGAGTGAGACAGTGGGAAGGACAGGTGTTTTTTTTATTTTATTTTATTTTTTTTTTGAGATGGAGTCTCGCTCTGTCACCCAGGCTGGAGTGCAGTGGCCGGATCTCCGCTCACTGCAAGCTCCACCTCCTGGGTTTATGCCATTCTCCTGCCTCAGCCTCCGGAATAGCTGGGACTACAGGCGCCCGCCACCTCGCCCAGCTAGTTTTTTGTATTTTTTAATAGAGACGGGGTTTCACCGTGTTAGCCAGGATGGTCTCGATCTCCTGACCTCGTGATCCGCCTGTCTCGGCCTTCCAAAGTGCTGGGATTACAGACTTGAGCCACCGCGCCCGGCCGGACAGGTGTTTTTTTGAGGCGCAGTCACTTCCTACTACACCTGCTTTTCAGCTCCAACACAGCCAATTCCTCACCCTCTGGTTTTACTCAATCCGGACTCCACAGCCTCCTTTATCCACCCTGGACCCTAAAGTCTTGCTGCTGGGGCCTCAGCCAGGGTAAGAAACCAAAACTCCTCTGCCTTGCTGTTTCATGAGCCACCATGAAAGAGGCACACATGGCCGGGCGCGGTGGCTCACGCCTGTAATCCCAGCACTTTGGGAGGCCGAGGTCGGCGGATCACAAACTCAGGAGTTCAAGACCAGCCTGACCAACATGGTGAAACCCCGTCTCTACTAAAAACACACACACAAAAAAAAAAATAGCTCGGTGTGGTGGCATTCGCCTGTAATCCCGGCTACTCAGGAGGCTGAGGCAGGAGAATTGCTTGAACCCGGGAGGCGGAATTTGCAGTGAGCCGAGATTGCGCCACTGCACTCCAGCCTGGGCAACAGAGCGAGACTCCGTCTCAAAAAAAAAAAAAAAAAAAAAAAAAAAAAAAAACACAACATGCAGGGTCAGAGCCTGTTTACTCTCCACTGACTAGATCCCCCAGAAATCAGACACCCATCAGCTCTGTTTGTGAAGGAGACGAGGGGAGGAGGGACAAAGGGGGAGACGAATTTAGTAACTCTCTTCAGAGCTGAGAAAAGCAACCTGCTCTTTAGTTCCAGAGGACAGGAGAGCTCTGACCAGCAGCAGTTCAGAGGTCCTGCAGCAGGAGTGACTGACAACACACACAATGAATGAGGAGGGTGATAGGGTGAAAGAAAGTGGGAGGCTTATGGCGTCTTTCCCCGTGAAGCGTTATCGGCGCACAGAGGCCTAACTCAAGACTCACAGGTTATGCTCATCTGTACAGAATCCTCCCTGTCCTGCGGGGCCGAGGAGCTCTCCTCGCCCTCGAGGCACTGGGGGTGGGCACCAGAGCAGCCGAAAGGAGTAGGGCGGGAAGGGAGGGAAGGAGAAGGAAGGGAAGAAACTAGGAAAGGAAGGAGGGAAGAGGAGGAAGCAAGGGAGGGCCAGTGCGCCCGCGTCTCCTTGGAAATGCCTCTCTGGCCTCGCCCCCGCGGAGGTAATTGTGATGCCACGCGTGGAACCCTCAGTCTCCCTGGTCCACCCTCAGGGTCGATGGAACCGCCCGCTCCCGCCCAGGCGTCCGGGTGGGCGCTGGTCCATGGGCTCCAGCCAAGGCCGGCGCTTCAAGGGCAGCGGCCTGCGCCCGGTGCCACCCAGTCCGATAGCCAAGAGTTACAGCTCTGGTTGGAGCCAGACTTCCCGCCCAACCCACGGGCGACCCAGCAGGGCCTCAAGCCCCCAGTCCTCAATCATTGGCCCGCGACTCGACGCGAGCCCGCCCCCGGCCCTAGCTCCGCCCCGGCCCGGCGCTGGGCCCCGCCTCCCTCGTTGGTTTGCCAGCCTCCCGCGTGCGCCGCTCGGGGTCTGCGAGCCCGGCCACGCCCTCTTCCCAGTCCCTGCCCAGCCCCTGCCCAGCCCCTGCCACGCCCCTCTTACCACAGCACCGGCTCTCATCCCACGAGCGGACCTTGGGCTCAGTCTTTTCCTTAGTCCATCTTTCAATTGTGAGTGTCGTCCTGACCCACATCGCTCTCCGCCCAGGTCTTCGTCTCTACAGGACTCTTCCTTGAAGTCCAACCCTGAGCCTCAGCCCGGCCGAGCCCTCCGCCCAGCCGTGAACTCCAGTCTCGGCTTCGCCCCCGCCTAGCCCCTAACCCCGCCTCATGCTGGCGCAGCCCCCGCCCGCCTCCCCCACTCCGCTCCAGGCTGCGTAGTCTTCCCAGCCCGGGTCTCAGCGTCAGCCGCGTTCTTCATCCGGGGCCTCCCGGCGCCTCGCAGGCCCCTCTTTGTTCCCCCTGTAACCCTAGGATTTCCCCTTTATCTCAGACCTTAACCTTACAGGCCCAGCTTTCACCACCCATCTCTGGTTCCAGCTTGCAGTCCAAGCCCCAGATTTTAACCCTGCCTCCAGATCGTAGCCCCAATTCTTAGTGTTACAGCGAGCCTTGCCCCCAGCCCCATTCTTAGCCCCGCCCCGGTCATTCTCTAAACCGCACACTCCCGCCCCGCTCCCCGCCCCGCCGACCCTTGGGAACCCAGCCGCAGCCCCGCCTCTGCCCGCCGGCGAGCGAGCGAACCCCATCTCTACAAAAAATACAGAAATTAGTTAGCTTAGTGGCGCGCACTTGTAGTCCCAGCTACTTGGGAGGCTGAGGTGGGAGGATCACCTGAGCCCAGGGAGGTCCTGGCGCCGCCATCTCCACTCCACCGTCCGGGCTTCGAGGTCCCTCCCGCTCTGGTGGAGCCCAGGCTTCCCCTCTCTCCGCCCACAGACCTCTCCCAAGGCCTAACTCCTGGCTGAGGACCTGATGTCGGCTCCCAGACCCTGCGCCACCCCGCAGCGTTCCCCGCCCCTGGCCCCCATGGGACACCCTATTCTAGAGACAATACTTCCGGATAGAGAGTCGTAAGCTCATCCCGTCTGGAGAACAGGGCAGGCTGCATTCATTGGAACCTCATCACAGTGACACCCCTCACGCCCTCAGGTACAACACTGCGCATGTATATATCACAGAACACAGAAAATCTACTCACCACACACACACAACATGCACACGGAACACAGAACTCCCATACCCGGTGCAGCACAAACACCACACCTGGACTGTGGTGCTGGCTTCACACACATCTGTTAACAGGCAAGGCAAAGGTGAGGAGCCCAGTGCTGTGAGGGAACAGAAATGGAAAAAATAATGGCAGGAGAGTGTGAAAAGAAGTTTTGGCCATATCGCTGACACTCCATGCACCACACCCCTCCACTTCTCTTGGCACCAGCTTCCAAAGCCAGGATGGAGAGGAGGGGAAAGGATGGGGTCCACACCTTGTTTTTTCCACCATCATCCAGGGGCTCTGCTGCTGCTGCTATTGCTCCGCCTGATCCCCACCTTCACTTTCCTCCAGACCCAAGTCCGGAGTGGGTAGGGCTGCTGCCCAGACCCTCCTTCCTGTGGTAGCTCTAGAGAGTCTAGGAACTGTGAGGGAGGGGAAGCCAGGATAAGGGAAGAGTGCAGAAAAACCAACCATCCTGGTGAGAATGGAACCGGGAATGGAACAGACAGAGCACTTGGCAACTAGGAGCCAGAATCTGCCTTCTAATTTGGACCCCCTTAGCCTCCTAGGATGACAGGAGGCCATAAGTCCTCCTTTGTTGACCCAGATGTCTGAGGTGCTTCCAGCTCCTCTGGAACTCTGGGTCAGATTTCAACAGGGAGGCAGGGTCTCGGTCACCTTTCCCCATACAAAAGTCAATGGAATAAACAACCAAAAAACCAAACAAAAAAACAAAATAAAACAACAAAAAAGAAAAGTTAATGGTTATAACTCCTGAGTTCAAGCGATTCTCCTGCCTTATCCTACCAAGTAGCTGGAATTACAGGCACGCACCACCACGCCCAGCTAATTTTCGTATTTTGATGGAGATGGGGTTTCACCATGTTAGCCAGGCTGGTCTCAAACTCCTGAATTCAAGTGATCCGCCTGCCTTGGCCTCCCAAAGTGCTGAGATTACCGGCATGAGCCACCGCACCCAGCCTGGAAAAGTATTTCTTAAAGGGAAGGCAAGAAAAGGGTGAAAAAAAGAAAAAGATTCTCCAGTAGTGAAAATTTGGGTATAAGCACCAAGTAGGACACATGTGGGGAAAGGATCAGGGGAAAAGGGCTCTCAAAACCAGCCATTCAGACTTCACCCAGTGAGGGCCCAGTGCAGCCTACCTGAACCTGCCCAGGGGCCAGGGATGGCCAGCACAGCATCCCCAGGGGGCTCTGGTGACAAGATGGCCCCACAGTCATGCCCATTCCACATCCATCATCCCCAACAAAGAACTCTAGCCCCAAAGTGCTCGTAACAAAGACATTTTAATGCATAAGGCACAGTGAGAGGCTGGAATCAAGCATCCTCACACACAAAGGGCCCAGCAGGCTGAGCAAAAGAACAGAGACACTCTTCCCCACTACCGCTGGGCACCCTGGACAGTCCCCTGAAGAGTAGGGGGCATCCAGTCTTTGGTACGGTGCCTGGAGCAGGAAGTGACTAGCATAGTCCCAGCTACCCCTCTGTGGGAATACTGCCACCAAGAGGCAGCTCTTTGGTCTGGATAAAGTCAGTGCAAATGTTCAGGGGTCAAGCTCTGGAGGAATGAGGGTGGCGCAGTGCCCCAGGACTGGGCAGTCCCTAAACAGTCTCCTCACCCCTCATGGACAACATGTGGGCTTCTTCTTGCTGGCAGTTAGGTAGAGGTTGCTGTCATCACTGTTGATGCCTAAAGAAAGGTGGGAAATATGTGAAGCAGGGATTGGAGGCTCACTGTGCCCTCTGCCACCCTCAACCAGGCAGGCACTCACGGACAACATCCCCAATGCGTCGGGCCCCCGATCTCTCCAGCTCAGCCAGCACATTGGCCTCAAAAGTCAGCGCTGCCACGCGGAAGAAGAATTCTCGGACATTCTCACCTGACACAGGGAGCAGATAGGTGCTCAGGGGCAGTGCCAGATCTGGGGACACAGGGCACAGCTGGAGGTATAGCAGTGAGAGGAGAGCCAGGCAAGAGTGTCACAGCAGAGCCCTGAAGCCTCCAACTCACCAGTGAGAGATGAGACTGCCCAGTACTCAGCCTTCATCTCCTGGGCCACCTGGAGGGCGTCTTTCTCCATCAGGGCATACTGAGCAGGGGTCTGAGGGAAGGGCCACAATCAGAGGGGGGCATTCCCTCACCAAGCTGGGAAGTCCCCCCACTGGCACACTCACACTCAGATCCTTCTTGGAACCTACGAGGAAAAGCAGCACACTGGAAGGGTCATTCTCCTTCAGGGCATCAGCCAGCCACTGCCTGCCACGGGTGATGGAAAGTGAGGGATGAGTAAGCCTGCAGGGCCCCTCCTGCCGACATTCATATGCCCAATTACCCCCTCTCTGGTGCAACATGCATTCTTCTCCTTCCTGACCACCGTTCTGTTCTGAACCCTCTCTTCCCGGAGCCTCCCATTATATTGCAGGATGCTCACATACTTGGTATGTTCCAGAGATGCCACATCATTCAGGTTGAAGACAACAATGATGGCTGGAAGAGTGGTGGAAACAGCCCCAGGTTGACAGGGAACACACTACTGCTCATTTCCCCAATTCTTCCAGCTCCAGATGAGAAGCCATGTGCACTCTGAGACCCACCTACCCTGCTTCACCCAGCCCCTTACCTTGAGCTCCTCGATAGTAGGTTGACACAATGCATTTGAACCTCTCCTGTCCAGCAGTATCCCAACTGGGAGGAAGGAGGAGTGAAGCACAGGTATGTATGTTGGGGGGTGTGGGTGCTGGGGGGAAGGGATAGCTGGAAGGGGTGTGGAAGCACTCACAGCTGCAAACTGAAGGGGATACCCAGCACCTCAAATCGTTCCATCTCGAAGTCCACTCCAATGGTGGCCTTATAATTCTTATCAAAGGTGTCTTTGCAGAACCTGAGAGGGTACCAGATGCTCCAATCTGGAGCCAGCCCATCTGTCTAGGTTTCGCCCCACCCTGCCCAGTTCAGCTCCAGCACCCCCTTACCTATTAATGAGGCAAGTCTTTCCCACCGACAGGTCCCCCACCACAATGATCTTGGAGATCTTAAATCTGCTGGACACAAGAGTGGGCAAGGGGAGTGGGCACGAGCTCTTTCACCCTAGTGAGTTCCAATGCTCCTGACTAGGTCCAGAAAGGTAGCTGCACCCAGGCTGAGGGTATTATAGACACCAGGTGTCCCAGGCAGCTGCCTGAACAGATGTGCTGGGGAGGAGGAGTGTTTTGTGCTCCAGCAGCAGAGAAACGTGAATTTGAATCCCAGCTCCCACACTGATTAGCTGTGTGACTTTGGACACATTATTTAGCCTCTCTAAGCCTCAGTTTAAACATTTAGGTGAAGTTAGTATATATTTTATTGGGTCGTTGTGAACGTTAAAATGAGATAAATGTCCTATATTCTAAGACCCCCTCCCCCCCATTTTAATGTCTCTGAAATCAGAATATATCTTAAGTGATGGACGTTTCAATAAAGATAATGATAGTACCCAACACTGCCTGGCACACAGCCAATGCTTAATTAATGGTGCCAACTGTTATCAGTATTACCTTTAAAACCCACAATAAAGGCCGGGCGCGGTGGCCCAAGCCTGTAATCCCAGCACTTTGGGAGGCTGAGACGGGCGGACCACGAGGTCAGGAGATCGAGACCATCCTGGCTAACACGGTGAAACCCCGTCTCTACTAAAAAATACAAAAAACTAGCCGGGCGAGGTGGCGGGCGCCTGTAGTCCCAGCTACTCGGGAGGCTGAGGCAGGAGAATGGCGTAAACCCGGGAGGCGGAGCTTGCAGTGAGCTGAGATCCAGCCACTGCACTCCAGCCTGGGCGACAGAGTGAGACTCCGTCTCAAAAAAAAAAAAAAACAAAACAAAACAAAAAAAAACCCACAATAAGACTCATCCCTGTAAGCACAGCCAGACCCCTGCCCTGGGGCTCCATGGATGCTATGTGAGGATCTGAGCAGGTGACCACCTTCCCATCTCAGACACCTTAGTCTCTACTCAGGAATCCAGCTGCCACCCTTCTAACCAACCCCATCTCATAGAACTCACAACAGCCTTATTGGGAAGAAAGGAGAGGTCACAGGGGCTTAAAGGGGAAATAACCATATAGCTGGTAGGAGCTGAAATGAAGCCCCAAGGGGGTGGGGGTGGTTGTTTACCCTCGTTATGACTAGAGTTTCCTGGGACCTCCTCTCTTTGCTGTGGGTGTCCCTAACTCACCCCACGGTGCCTGTCCGGTGTTCCTGGCAGGCGCAGGTGACGCGGGGGTGGAAGTCTTTGTGCACGTGCAAAGCGGCCTCCTTCCTCAGGCACTTATTGGGAAGGATGAAAGAGAATGGAGCTTCCCACTCCTGGCCCTTGTCCCGTAGCCAAGCGGCCCGGGTAGGGGTGGAGTGCAGGGACCACCCAGAAGCAGCAGGCCTAGCTGGGTGGCAGGGCTAGGCCCAGTCCTCTAACTGGTCTAGTGCAGCCTCCGCCCCGCCCACACCCCGGGCTGTAGACGGAAGCCCGACGTGGCCCCGGCGCCTACCTGGGGCAGCTCTGCCAGGACGCGATCCCTCCGCACGGGCGCCAGAATGTTCATCCTGCCTGCGGCCTTGCAGGGCGCCCTGAGAAGGCGCCGAGGCCGGATCCGCGCCAGCGACCCGGGCGCGTGGAGAGCCGACGATCACCCGCGGCCGGGGTGTCCCAACTACAACTCGGGGCCACGGGGACCCTACAGGAGCCCGCGGTCTCGGAGACGCTACGACCACCGCGGGCCACGGAGATGAAACAATCACCCGGGGCCGGGGCGAGCCCACAACCACCCGGGCCCTGGGCGTCCCGAAGATGACTCTGGGGCGAGGAGACTCCTCCGCCGCCAATTGGGGGCGGGGAGTCCCGTCTGGTGTGGGCCGGGCCCGCGCAGACCCTACGATTACGCGGGGCCGAATAGCTCCTACAATAACCCGGGACCGCGGAGACCCGACGTCATCTCGGGGCTGAGGCTGCCCTACCATTACAGAGTGGCCCCGGGGCGCGGAGTGGCCCCGCCACACGGGGTCAGTATGGGCAAGGGCGGCGCTGCCAAGGCCCGCAGGCCGCTGGAGGAGGGGGCGAGGGGCCCAGTCCGGCTGCAGGGCCTCGAGTCCCACTCCGCTGGGACTCCGCGAACGCTGTAACACGATCCCCGGAAATTCCTAGCGAAGGGCCGCCCCCCGCCCCTCTCCTGGCCGCTCCAGGCCTTGCTGCCCGCCCTCGCCTCCCCCTCCTCTCCACGCCTCTGCGCTGCCCTGCTCAGGCTCCCTCGTCTGACGCTTCACCGGGCACCAGGACCGCCCCCAACCAGGCTGGAGCCTATCCAGATAGGGACTCCCCAGGCTGCTCTCCCCTGCACCTCTATGCCCGGCTCCGCCTTCAGGGGGACCCTTACCCAGCCGAATTGGTGATAGGGAATCGGAGACTGCTGCGCAGCATCTGGCGATGCCAGAAACCAGCAGGGAGGGGAAAGGGGGAGAGAAGGGGCCCAAGGAGAGGCGGCGCTTCCCTCCTCAACTCCAGGCCTGGGAGGTGACTCACAGAGTCTGCCCCCGCTCGCCCTTCTGCCCTGGGAGGTTGGGGGTGGTGGTGGTGGAGGGGAAGCGTGCTAAGGGGGTGCCAGGGTTAGAATGAGGTGCCCACCAAGGAGAGAGACGTCTGAAGTTTGGCGTCTTTTCCTTCAAGGCTGCTGTGTAGATTGTGAGATGGGAGGGCTGAAGATCAAGCTGCCTCCCTCTAGGGAGGTTAAAGAAGGGCTAAGTGGACCCGGAAACTCCGCTCTTTGGGGTGGTCTCCGCTCTGGGAGGCGGGGACTCCCCTCTGATATGGGTGTTCATTGTTCTGGCCCCATTGGAATCTATCCCCCAGAGACAACTTCTTTTTGCAAAGTCCTGCAGGATAGAAGAGGGGGCAGTGCACAATCAATTTCACCGTCAAAGGGGACATCTCTAGTTTTATGAGGGGAGAGGGAAGACAGAAAGTATCAAGTGGGGATGGGTTAGGCACACACCTTAGGAGATGCAAACCTGAGTGTTATGAAACCTTTCTCTGTGTCTGGAGCTGAATTTGAGGATGTAAAGATGACCAGGACACGGAAGGGAAGACTAGTTTTGGGCAGGGGATTGTGAGTGAAGTTACTAACAGGAAGAACTAGCGAAACTTGTAGAAATGTGTGGAATTTTCATAGAACTTCAAGTGCAGTGACAGTATCTGCGTTTATCAGGAAACGCAGTGAAACTGACAGTATCAGTGTCGCAGGTAAAGAGGGGCAGATGTAGCCGCCTTGTACTTCCTCTGACACTTTTCCTCCTCGTGACTCGGTTTTTTTGTTGTTGTTGTTGTTGTTTTGTTTTTTTGAGACAGGGTCTCACTCTGCCACCCAGGCTGGAATGGCTCACTGCAGCCTCGACCTCCAGGGATGAAGCGATCCTCCCACCTCAGCCTCCCAAGGAACTGGGACTACAGGCACGCACCACTACGCCCGGCGAATTTTTGTATTCTTTTGTAGAGACGGGGTTTCGCCGTGTTGTCCAGGCTGGTCTCGAACTCCTGGGCTCGAAGCAATTCGCCCACCTTGGCCTCGCAAAGTGCTGGGATTACAGGCGTCAGTCACCGCGCCCGGCCCTGACTTGATTTTTTCTGCCACCAAATCACTGTTACTGATAAACCACATTCCTCTCTGGACCTCAGTTCGACCGAGCAAATCCTGCTCCAATACTCTAGAACTTAGCTGCATCTAACTCCCGAGTCAATCTAAATGTGTTCTTTACTCTTGGCAGCGTTCCTGCCTCCTGGCATGGCAATCCTCTTCCCTGAGACTGGCAGTTGCTCAAGATGGGAAGCTCCCGGGACCAGACCCGAGCGACAGCCGGCTACGCCGTCCGCTTGCCTGAGCAAATAAACGCGTGTCTTAAAACAAACTACAAGGCCGGGCGCGGTGGCTCAAGCCTGTAATCCCAGCACTTTGGGAGGCCGAGACGGGCGGATCACGAGGTCAGGAGATCGAGACCATCCTGGCGAACACGGTGAAACCCCGTCTCTACTAAAAATACAAAAAACTAGCCGGGCGAGGTGGCGGGCGCCTGTAGTCCCAGCTACTCCGGAGGCTGAGGCAGGAGAATGGCGTAAACCCGGGAGGCGGAGCTTGCAGTGAGCTGAGATCCGGCCACTGCACTCCAGCCTGGGCGACAGGCCAGACTCCGTCTCAAAAAAAAAAACTACAACCCCCATGGTGACATGCGCCTGTAGTCCCAGCTACTCGGGAGGCTGAGGCAGGAGAATGGCGTGAACCCGGGGCGGGCTTGAAGTGAGCCGAGATCGTGCCACTGCACTCCGACCTGGGCGACAGAGCGCTTAAAAAAAAAAAAAAAAAAAAAAAAAAAAAAAAAAAAAAAAAAAGGCCGGGCGCGGTGGCTCACACCTGTAATCCCAACACTTTGGGAGGCCAAGGCGGGCGGATCACGAGGTCAGGAGATCGAGATCACGGTGAAATCCTGTCTCTACTAAAAATACAAAAAATTAGCCGGGCGCAGTGGCTGACACCTGTAGTCCCAGCTACTCGGGATGCTGAGGCAGGAGAATGGCGTGAACCCGGGAGGCGGAGCTTCAGTGAGCTGAGATCACGCCACTGCACTCCAGCCTGGGTGACATAGCGAGACTCCATCTCAAAAAAAAAACAAAAAACAAAAAAAACACTACAACCCCCATGAAGCTTTAGTGCCTTTGAGGGGAGGAGTGGCGCATGTTTGTTCACGCACGAAGAAGAAATTAAACCTAACTACCGTTCCCAGAGGGCGCCACTCTGCAAATTACCAAATCAGCTCTAAGTACAAAGCATCGCGAGTCTTTGATGAGATTTGGCGCTATAAGCCTGTGGGAACGGGCATCGGGGACCCTTTTCACAAGATGGCGCCGAAAGCGAAGAAGGAAGGTGTGTGTTGGGGATGGGGCCGCCGCTGGTTTGCCAGGGATTGCCGCGCCGCAGAGGGAACGAATTGGGAGCATGGCTGCTGGGCTAAGTCCTGAGGGCTCTGCTCCGGGGTTGCTACCCGCGTTTCGGTCACGCTGCAGTATACTTGGGCCGCGTGTGCCCAGCCTCATGGGCTGAGTTCCGGTGGAGGGAGTTGGGGAGACAACCCGGCCGACATCATCCGCCAGGGAGGGCCAGACATTCGGCTCTGGGAAGCTACACGCATCCGTTGGTTGGCGCTCCATGTCCCCGGGCCTGTAAGAAGTTAGTGCCCTCAGCTTTAACCATTTTTCCTTCTGGTTCATGTTTAACCGGGCTACATTACCCGCCCCCCTCTCCGCTGCCTGGTTTTGCGATGGGGTATGTGTAAAATTCCTAGGACATTTTCTGGAAAGTACTAAGCGTTCGTTCAGTGCTACTTTGTTTTATAGTCGTATCCCTGGACTGACTTCGAGTTGGTCGCTTTCGCCTCTGGTATCGTGCATGTGATGGAGAAGTTTTAATCTCCTGACACTTGTGATGTCTTCAAAGGAACCACTGATGCACGTGTGGCCAGGGTCGCCGACTGCAGTTCTTGGGGCCGAAAGTAACCGATTGCTAACCCGCACCCCGTTTTCTTTTCTTCTCTACCAGCTCCTGCCCCTCCTAAAGCCGAAGCCAAAGCGAAGGCTTTAAAGGCCAAGAAGGCAGTGTTGAAAGGTGTCCACAGCCACAAAAAAAAGAAGATCCGCACGTCACCTACCTTCCGGCGGCCCAAGACACTGCGACTCCGGAGGCAGCCCAAATATCCTCGGAAGAGCGCCCCCAGGAGAAACAAGTCAGTACTGCCCCCTCTACCCATGAAAAGATTTGGGTATTCTCCATTGGTAATTTGGAAATCACTCACCCTGTGTGATGGTTTCTCAAACACGAATTGTGTCCAGTGTGCTTCTCTAATTGGAAGTATGAGGAGATTGTTTCTGCTGTATTTACAAAACTGGCAGGAATTCTTTTTAAATCAGCCCAGAGGCCGGGTGCGGTGGCTCACGTCTGTAATCCCAGCACTTTGGAGGCCGAGGCTAGCGGATCACTTGAGGTCAGGAGTTCGAGACTAGCCTGAGTAACATGGAAAAACCCCGTGTCTACTAAAAATAGAAAATTAGCCGGGCGTGGTGGCGCATGTCTGTAATCCCGGCTACCCGCGGGAGACAGAGGCAGGAAAATCGCTTGAACCCGGGAGGTGGAGGTTGTGGTGAGCCGAGATCGCACGATTGCACTCCAGCCTGGTCAACAAGAGCGAAACTCCAGCTCAAAAAAAAACCCTGAGTCTCAAAATTTGTTAGGTTAATTATTACTTCACATGTGGTCACGGTTTGAAAACTATTTTGGGGGGCCTGTAAAGTAGAATACAGAGATTCCTTGTTCGTAGTTCCTACTGCTATAGGGAACAATCCTTGAGGGTGAGAACATGGATTGATTCTTGATGATAATGGGGATTCTGTTATCTGTATTTGGCAGTTATGGGCTGCTGCGATGTATAGAAGCTTCTTTGCATTCATTTTCCCAATTTTCATATTGCTCAAGGAATGGTTGGGGGGAGATGGGCAAAAGGTTGGGCACTTGGAGTATTTGAGCTACCGGTAATAACTAACTTTTTAGGGAGCACAGATTTGAGTAGAGCCATGGTAGTAGTTACTACCAATGGGTTTTTGCTGTTTCTACTGTTTCCTAACAGAAAGAGTGGATTGTGTTCAATAGGAAAGCAGTTCACAGACTGTCTTCCTGCCTTTTCCCCCACCAAGTTGGACCTAGGATTGAGTGTGATGAGGTTTAGACCTGACTTGGTTTCAAAACAGGAAAGTAGTGTCTGAGTAAACAGCCGGGGTCTGACTTTAAATGGGGAAAGCTGTTACAGTTGTGCTTAAGCCACTGTAAGTTTAATCTCAGCTGTGCATAAGAATTTGCTCCTGGCCCAATTCTCCTGCCTCAGCCTCCTGAGTAGCTGGGACTACAGGCTTGCACCACCACGCCCAGCTAATTTTTGTATTTTTAGTAGAGAGGGAGCTTCACTAAGTTGGCCAGGATGGTCACGATCTCTTGACCTCGTGATACGCCTGCCTCAGCCTCACAAAGTGCTGGGATTACAGCCATGAGCCACCACGCCAGGCCCAATGATAATTCTTTAATCACTTGAGGTGTAAGAGCCCTTCAAGAGAAAGAAAATGTACAATGTTCTGCCCCTGGGGTTGGGGCTTCAGGCTCTTAGATTTCAGGGTGCAGGTGATGACACTGTAAAACGACCAAAGTCTGAACAAAATGATTGGTACCTCGTTGTCTGATGCCCTAGGCTCTCCTGGCTCTGGGCTCCAAAGAAAGCCCAGGCCAGGTGACCCCATTTTGCCTCTCCTAGGCTTGACCACTATGCTATCATCAAGTTTCCGCTGACCACTGAGTCTGCCATGAAGAAGATAGAAGACAACAACACACTTGTGTTCATTGTGGATGTTAAAGCCAACAAGCACCAGATTAAACAGGCTGTGAAGAAGCTCTATGACATTGATGTGGCCAAGGTCAACACCCTGATTCGGTGAGTTGGGCCTCAAGGGATGGGGAGCGGGCTGGACCAGCAGCTGGAGCCAAAAAAACCTGCATTTCATGAAGCTCTTTGATGTTTAGATAGTCCTGGTAATGCAGGACTACACGTATAGTCCCAGTTATGCAGGAGGATCCCTTGAGCCCAGGAGTCACCCATGATTTGCCCCATTGTACTCCAGCCTGAGCAACCAAGCAGGGCCCTTTAAAAAAAAAAAATCCTCCGGACCTTTCAGCAGGGGAAAAAGGTTCCTTGACTTAAACTTGGAGTAGATTTAGCAGTGTGTGAGCCTTGAGGCAGGAATTACAGGCTGCCTTACAGACCTTTGTATGGACCTGAGGCAACACTTTCTAGGACTTGATTGGGGGTTGGTGCTCATTTTCTGGGTCCCTACTTCTATTTTCAAAGGCCACTAGAGTGCAGCAGATTACCTTGGTTTAAGTCTTAACATGGCCTGTGGTCTTTCCCATAAGAGAATTGGCTTCGTGGCTTCATGGTGTCCTCTGGGTTGATGGAAAAATAATCATTGGAAAAGAATGACATGAACAGAGGAACCATTGAAGTGCTGGAGGACTGGAGGAGGAAGGGGGAGGGTGTGGGGGCAGTGAGGGTGGCAGGGACTAAGGCTTCCTTCTCTACTCCAGGCCTGATGGAGAGAAAAAGGCGTATGTTCGACTGGCTCCTGATTACGACGCTTTGGATGTTGCCAACAAAGTAAGTTTCCTTCCTACAAACCCCCTATCATTCACCCCTTGGGTGCAAATGATGCATATGTTAGCGACCAAAGCCTGATTTTTGCTGATTAGTCATAATTAACTGACTGCACCCTATCTTAACAAACCTTATCCTCAATGTTCCTCATTTTGCTTTCTGAAAATAACATTCCAGCTTAATCTTCATGTTTCAGCTCCAGTAATGAGGCTCCCTTTTGTTTTTCAGATTGGGATCATCTAAACTGAGTCCAGCTGCCTAATTCTAAATATATATATATATCTTTTCAACATATACGTGCCTCTCTGTCAATTTCTGGTTGGGCTGGGAGGCCACACACAGTACACTGACATAACAGGGCTTGGGCAAGACTCCTATTCTACTCATCCTTTTGAAATAGTCACCCTGCCACTCTACCATGTGTGATCACTCCAGAGATCTTTGTGACTAGAGTTAGTGTCCTAGGAAAACCAGAACTCAGAACTTGCCTCCATGGTTGAGGGTAACAAGAAGCAGTACAAGAACCCCTTCTTTTATCCCTGGAAGAGGCTGTGTATGAAACCAGTGCCCGAGGTTTGAAGGGCATTAGCATCCATTTCAGGGAAGTGTGGATTGGCTGGCTTTCTGATAGCATTTTGTCCTCACACACCCATCTACTATGTCCAACCGGTCTGTCTGCTTCTCTCACCCCTCGCCCAATAAAGGACAAGGACTTCAGAGGAGTGCTTTCATTAGTGTTTTCAATAGTGTGGGCGCAGGCTCGGAAGGTGGAGAGGCTGGCCCCAGAGGACGCCCAGGCTTGGGGCTAAGTCCCAGTTTCCATGTGAAGCTGTTTCTGGCCTTGTCCGTTTTTGTTGTCCCAGGCTCTGTGCCTCTCACTCAGTCAAGAACTTGTCTTTGTGTTGCTTCCTGGGGACACGCTCGGGGCAGAAGTCAGAGCGGAGGAGGCGGGAAAAGTAGATTATGATCATCACGTCCAGCATGAGCAGGATACCCAGCAGGAAGGTGCCCAGGGTCCTCTGCCTCACATAACGCAAGAAGAAATGGGTGAGGTAGACCTGAGGGGCCAGGCGGAAGACAAAGTACATGACCAGGTTCACATACTTGTTAACCCTATAGAGGAGATGATCCTGGGCATTATTGATTTTCATCATCATTCGAATTGTGAGGAAGATGTTGCTGACTTCCACCAGTAGTGTTAAGACACCACCACCGACAAAGCTGCTCCAAAAGATGCCAGAGAAGAAGGCACCCATGGCCTAGCGGGAAGAAGGGAGAATAGGAGTTAGGGAACCAGATGCAGATGCTTTCCTGCACTTTGGTGGGGGGTGTCAGATTGAGGGCTGGAAAATCCCAAATTTCCACCTGGAATAATAGTTTATAGTGGATAAGGTGCTTTGTTTTGTTCATTCAACATTATTAGGTTTTGATCCCTGCTCACAGCTTCTGGCTGTGGATGATGTTCAGTCTAAAGAGGCAGTGAGACCATGGGTTGCTGGCCTCTGAACAAGCACACACACTGCTAACCTCAGCATCCTAAAAATAAGTAGCAGCACACAGGTGGGGGGGTGGGCGGTAAGAAAACACAGCCTTCTCCCAGGTTCAGAAAGACGGAGCTGAGACTAGGTTGCTGACACCAGGCCTATACCACATAATCAGCTTCTCTCTTACCATGATGTGATGGACGAGGTATTCCCAAGATGCTCGCGCCTGTCCGCTAGCCACGATGTCCACCGTATCATGGATGAAATACCCTAGTGGAGGGATGGGGCAAGAGGTCACGAAGGACTGAACAAGCAGCTTCCTTCTCCCTGTCCCCAGTTGGCCTCCCGCTTCCTGGGCAAGACCTACCTGCAGAAAAGCAAACGAGCAAATAGCCAGAAAGTGACCATGCCGTCTCAATCTCCACCAACATGTCGGGAGTCTGCCATACACTGGAAAGGAGGGAAGAAAGCAGGCTCTGCATTTTGGCATCCTCAAGGACCCTCACCTTCCCGGTTACCCTTCCCAGCCCCGGGGAAGCCTGGGCTCGCCCTAGTGGCCGACTGGGAAGCTAAGAGTGGCTGGGCAAAACCCAAGAGCCTCCAGTTTCCCAGGGGCGATCCCCCTCCCCTGGGACCACTGCGGCTTCTGGTTGGATAGGATACCAAACGGGATCAGGTGAGACTGCGTGGCCTCAGCCCGCCGATGAGCAATGGGGGTAGTAACACAAGAGCCGACCCCAGCTCCCTGCTCAGGATCCCCCGGCCACCTCATCCCCACAGTCGCTTACCACAGCAGTGCCCAGATCCCCGACACAATGGAGTGAGCGAAGGAGACGAGCAGGTTGTGCCAGCGCCAGGTGCGCAGGGGGTCGGCGCGCACGTGCACAGGTAGGGGCAGGCGACTGAGCGCGCGCCGGAGCGCCCGGAAGGTCAGCGTGGCGCCCAGGAGCAGCGGCAGGGCGGGGTGCAGCAGTGGGGGCATGCTGGCCCTCCCTGCCGTCCGCCCTCGAGGCCGCCTCCTAGGGCTGTTCTGGGAACCTGGGTCCCTTTCGGACCAGTCCAGTCCGGCCGCCTCTCCCGCCGGGCGCCAGCCCCACACAGTTTCGGCGAAGCCCTCTAGGCCCCCTGACTCCTCCTCGCCCTCCCTGCTAGGCCTCTGCCCCCGCCCCCAGACGCCCGCGCCCCCGCCCCGCCCACCTGCCCCCGCCCCGTCCGCCTGCCCCCGCCCCTCAGGCGCTGCTGCCGCGCTAGCCGGGTGTCCCCGCGGCCTCTCGGTCACCGGCCGGTTCCCGCGGACTTTGGGTAACTAGGAGCTGTGCTGGGGGCGTCGTCGCCGAGGCACCCCTCGCTGGCGCCTCCCGACGGCCGACGGAGTCCCAGTTGCCGTGGCTCGCCCGGCCTCATTAACCCGCGTCCCCACTTTTCCCCGGGCCACCGGCTCCCCCGCCCTGGGCGGGTACCGCGAGAGCTCTCTCCACCCTCTACCTTCTGCGAAAAGCTGGACGGGACCCGACACGCCCACGCCCCCTAAGTCCTGGTCCTGGGGTGGACTCGGGAGCCCCGCCTCCGACAGTGGTCTCGGTGCAGACCCAGTGCCCCCACCGCACCACTCGCAGTCTTCTGACCGGATACCCGGGTTTACCCGTCCCTCCCGCGCCCGCGAGGTGGGCGCTTGGGAACTGCTGAGTAACCCATCGCCACCTGTCCCCGCCCGCTCTTAAGCTCCCGGGGCCGGGCGGCTGTCACAGTCCTCCCTCAGACAGTCCTGGCCCTCGGCCCGACTCCCCGGAGTCTGGGCAAGCAAGACCGCGGATTTGCCGGGACTGCTGGGGTGACCCGCGCTCTCCAGGCCGGTAGCTTGCAGCAGTTGCGGCTCCTGGCCACTAGGTGGCAGCCTGCCCTCACTGTGGCGCGGGCTCCCTCTCCCGCCTCCGAGCTAGGCGGCTGCTTTCGGGGAAAGTTTAGGTAAACTGGGCGAAAGGAGGAGCCGCTGAGAGCTAGCGAGGGAAGTGAAGCGGGGGTGAGGGCGGGGAGGGAGACGAGGGTGGTAATACAATAGGGGAGGGAAGAAGTGAGGGAGGGGAAAGGTGCTGCGGGAGGGAGGAAAAAGCCAAAAACCTGAGGCGCAAGGACCCACGGACCAAGCCGTTTGAGTGTTTTCCTCCCCTATGGCTCCAAGTTACACATTAACCCCTGTGGGACTCCTAGGTTAATCAAGGCGCAGTCGGTTTCTAGGTGAGAGCACTGGTGTCCCGGGTGAGCGGCTTTCGTCCCTCCCCTTGGCTCACAGGGCTGCTCTGTCCGCCGGCCGACACCGGCCTGAGACAGCGCCCATCAGCAGTCCTTCCACGTGGGCGGGTTTGGGTACCCTTGCGAAGGCCGGGGCAGGGTTTCTTTCTTTCTTTCTTTCTTTCTTTTTTTTTTTTTTTTTTTGAGATGGAGTCTCACTCTGTCGCCCAGGCTGGAGTGCAGTGGCACGATCTCGGCTCACTGCAACCTCCGCCTCCCAGATTCAAGCGATTCTCCTGCCTCACCCTCCCGAGTAGCTGGGATTACAGGCGAGCGCGACCATGTCCAACTTTTTGTATTTTTAGTAGAGATGAGGTTTTACCATGTTGGCCAGGCTGGTCTCAAACGCTTGACCTCAGGTGATCTGCCCGCCTCGGCCTCCCAAAGTGCTGGAATTACAGGCGTGAGCCACCGCGCCTGGCCGAATACTGAGTTTTTACAGAGCTCCAGCAGAGCAGGAGCCCGGGAGAACCTGGAATTAACCTCACTTCCGGTAAAGAGGCTAGCTGGTCACACTAACCAGCCCTCTGCCTATAGGCTTTGTCTTGAGCTCATCTCGGCGAAACCGCGGTCTTTCCTTCTCCCCTTGATGCTTTCAGGTAGTGATTCACTTCCGCCCCCATCTTCCCCCATGGGGTTCACCCTAGATGAGCACTGAGGGCAGATTACCCTCCTGCAGTGCGTGTGTATGAAAAGCGAGTTGAGAGTCCTGACCAGCGCGGTGCTCACTAGTCGGGACGGCCTGAGACCGTGTCATGTCCTCCCCAGGTGAATCAACTTGCACAATTTGGGATTTCCCTCGTCCCTCCCTAGGCAAACACGAAACTAACTCTGCTGCCTTCTCCCAGGAGCGCTGGCCTCGGTCGTTTTGGTTGTGTTTATCGTTTGTGTGCCAAGAAGAACCCGATTTCTCCTGAAATAGCGTCACTCGTGGGCAAGAAGGGGGTCGATCCTCTCTTCCCACCCCCGCCCGGCCTGTGGGGTGCAACTCTCAGGAACGCGACATCCTTTTAGTCTAGCAAGCTTTACAAGGGCTGGGTATATGCTTGGGAGGGGCGGGTACCGTGCCCGCCATTGCGGGGCCCGCCCTATTTTCTTGCCCTATCCCTTGGACACTGCGTGGGGCAGGGTCGTGAGGGGAAAGGTGACGGCGTGTCGCAGCGGCAGGTGTGTGGTGCAGGCCCACAAATACGGACGCGTGGCGAAACCCACACCTAGCCGGCTGGCTCCGCCCCGCAAGCCGCTCGCCGTGAAGGGGCGGGGCCCAGAGTGGCTGGGTCCGCGCACGCGCCGCGTGGGAGACGGAAGTGAAACGCTAAGAAATGAGATGGAGAAGTACGAGCGGATCCGAGTGGTGGGGAGAGGTGCCTTCGGGTGAGCCAGGGCTCTGGGGGAGGAAACTGCTAAAGGATAGGGAAAATAAGCCCCAATTCTGCCCGCGAAGTCGCCGCCCGCCTAGACCCGCCCCAAGGTGTGTGCGCTACTCTGGGAAGCTCCGCCCAAGCTTCCGGTCCCTATCCCGCGGGGAGACTGCGCCTCTACGTGGGCCACGCCCCTGACAAGCCCAATGGCCCGCCCACTGAGTTCTGTTAGTTTCTTTATTCATTGGTTTTACAAATACTGAGTGCCAGCTATGTATGTCAGGCTTTGGGCCCTGGGTATGCAGTTAGAACCGGAACAGGCGTGGTCTTTTCCCTCTTGGAACTTACTGACTATGGGAAAGTTATACAATAAACAAAACATTATGAATTAAGAAGTTATAGCAGTTATGAAGGGTTATTAGCAGGTTGTGAGGCTAGAGTACATTACCAGGGAGAATACTTATATGAGATGGTCAAGGAAGAATTCTCTGAGAAGGGAGATTGATTGATTGATTGATTTTTTTTTTTTTTTTTTTTTTTTTTTTTTTTGAGACGGAGTCTCGCTCTGTCGCCCAGGCTGGAG